AAATATTAAAAAGAAATCAGTTTTTTGGCAAATTTAAGATCTAAGCCCCGTTTAAATTAATTTAATCAAATATTTGCAAAAGCAAACAGGCCGAATGTTTAGTACGATGACGTTACTTTGACTTTTCAAAATCATTAGTTTTTCACGTGCCAAAGGAAGACCATAAATTTTCGAATATTTGGAAATCCACTTACGCGTTTCCTCGGTCGAAGAAAGCAAAAATACCGAGTTGCTATGCGGAGGGTTGCTAACGGATTTATCGCGCGTTCTTGAAAATCACCGCGTTCGAAACACCCTGATACTTGGAATCATGGTATACAGGGTGTCCCAAAAATGTTGTAACACATTGAAAGAGGTGGTTCGGGAGGCTTCATTGAGGAGATATTAACGGAAAACACTGACCAATCAGAGCGCGCGTATACCGTTGGAGCGGCCGTGGTGGCGAAGGCTACGAGCTAAGCGGCCGCGTCCAATGTCCTTCGATGCGTCGAGTCGCTTGTTCGCGTATAAGCGCGGCCGCTTAGCAGATAGCCTTCGCTACCGCGGCCGCTCCAACGGTATCTGCGCGCTCTGATTGGTCAGGGTTTTCCGTTAATATCTCTTCAACGAAGCCTCGGACAACATTTTCGCTAAGGAAAAAGTTGTTTCAAATCACCTCCCAAATCATCCCTTTCAAGGTGTTACAACATTTTTGGGACACTCTGTAGAATTAATTTGTCTTTTACGAGGTGCAATCACGTGACATTCTGTTGTTTGTTATGCCGGGTTAAGCTCACGTGGCGATGCAAGCGATTTTAAATAAGGTTGGCTGCGAGTTCGCTCGAAATAGCGACAATCAGTCGATGACACTGCGTGTTGCTGTCTCGTGACGGCTGGTTCGACATCGGTCATCAGGCCAACTCGTCCGGGTGAAACGTCATCGATCGATGACGAGGATCGTGCGTCTTACGATTAACGACTCATTCTACTTTCACGCGCACGTGTCCGCCTCCAATTTACTATAGTCTGCTCGTGGGAACGTAGCTGTGTCCTTAGTGGTAATAATTGAAATTAACATACGACTTTATACGAATTAAGTGTTTTTTTTATAAATGGCTTGTTATTTATACTACGGCAACATAGACAAATTTTGCACTACGTGAAAGATCTTTCGTAATTTTTGATTAAAGTATAAAATTATTAAATAAATGTAAATTTGTTCGCATTAGAAAGATACAGAAATATTTTACAATACAGAAAGAGATATTTCACACAAATTATAATAATAAACATGATTTTTGTGGAACCTGATCAACACAAAAGAATTTAACAATACATGACAAAATATTTCAATTAAAATCAATGTTTCCTTTATTTTTGTTTAAAATGTTAAATCATTAAACAAATGTAAATCAATGGTGTTAAAGCAATAGAGTCAAATTTTACAATTCATGAAAAAATGTTACAAATAAAATTAGCACTCACTGTAGCTCAAAGTATAAATAGACGTAAATTTGAACGTAAATAATTTTTGTATTACACTAATATCGATATTCAACAAAGTCTCAACTATTATTTATCGAGAATATTTTCATTTTTGATAATGAATTGATTGAATAACAAATACAGTCGTTCGATAAGTGAGAAATTAATTAATTTAATCACGATCAAATGCGTAGGATTATTCCGGGAAGCGTGACGATATAACCGCCAACCTTATTATAACAATGTTTAACGTTGATGTTTGATCGTGACGACAGTAAATCTCGAATAATGGCACCGCAGCACGTTTTTATGGGTTCAAATCAATCCTTAAATTATTCCGTAGGGTGGTCAAGCATATATTACATATAAGTTTCAAATAAATTTGGTCTTTTTTTCTACGTGATATTTACTTTGCACACGCATTGAAAACCCACTCGTTCAGAAAGAACTCGGCGGATATTTCCACACGTAGGCGTAGGCGTAAGGGACAATTTCGGAACAATTGATGATCGCATTCGTTTAAATTTAATCAGAATTTAGAAAATCTAAGTCTACTACTAAAATCGTTCAAGTGAATATTAAATAAATTTTTCAAATCAATTGTAAATAAAATACCACTACATTAGAATTGTCATACATGTAGGATTTGGGATGATTAAGGGCGGCGAATAAGTGAGACGTATTATGGTATTAGAACATAAGATATATTTTAGAACATATAAATTGAAGAAGGATATAAAAAAAGGTTGACGCCACCGTTACATCGCACAACGACTAAGGACTCCTTCACGCCGCTTGCCTTGAACAAAACGGCAATGCACGCCACGATATCTCGCGAAGCCGCCCGAAAAACGTCGAATACATCGATCATTCGATCGATGTTTCCGCGGAACGAAACATAACCTTCCTTCATACATTTGACGTGAACATTGTTTTAAATTACAATAAATTCTTTTCAGTCAGTTTCGTCAGCCATAGTTTCAGGATGTATAGGTCGTTATCAGCACAATTTATATGGATTTAACGGTAAGGGAATAAGAGAATTTATGTATGTTGCGTTTTGATGTTTCCTTCACCCGTTAGAAAAGCTTTTAAGCGGTTCAACCGTTTTATTTTCCATATACCCATATGCGCTTAAACATTCCGTACAATTACCGTTTAATGGTTGCTTCATCACGTCTGTCAAGCCCCTTCCGTTTCTCTCGATCGATAGTAGCATGTCTATCGACGTTTATATACGCGTTCGGAGTATCATAAAGACAAACATAAAACATAAACTTTCGCTGGCCGTCATAAAAAGACGAAAATGAGATCGCAGAATTTTATCTAAAAGTTCTGACCGTGAAAGAATGGAATGGCTGAATTGCTTTTTTTTCGAGCAAATGTGGTATTTAAGTAATACATTTCTACATTTTTTGAGATAATTCGTCTCAATCTTCGTGTATTCCACGCTCTTATTTGCAAATGTTAGATAAGTCCTTGAGGGATTATCTTAGTTTGGCGGTCCTTTGGGATTTTCTGTATGAATAATTATGCTACGGATTCCATTAAAACGTTGTGGCTCTATTTAATACTAAAATAATAAGCCGAGTTATAGGGCGATTGTGAGGGATCGATACAAAAATTGCTGTTTAAGGTTACCATGATATAAACAATTGTAGTTTAACAGTGAAGAATAACATTCAGTTTGTTTGTTTCTTTCTTAAAGTGTAATAAGAAATTACAAAAATCGGGCGTTCAATAAGAAAAAGACGTTTGGCAAAAAAAGGGCCAAAAACTTCAATTTTTGCAATTTCTTATTAAACTTTCAAAAAGAAACAGATAAACTGAGTGTTCAATAAAAAGAAGACGTTTTGCAGAAATAAACGACACAAACTTTAATTTTTTGCAATTTCTTATTAAACTTTCAAGAAGAAACAATGGATAATCCCGTAAACTTTGAAAATAAAACAAATAATACTCGTTCCACCCAGATCACTAGTTTACAGTCAACATGTACATTCAATGCCATAATTTTTGTCTTATGTATTTTGGCCTACTAAACTCGAAAATCGTAAGAAAAAATTTTTCTATGGATAAATTTTTTTATATGAATTTTTGAATTTTTTTTCGATTTTTTTCGGAACACCTTTACATCTTAGCCCATATCTCGAGTTAGAAACGTCCGATTTGGTCGCACAAGACGCCATTTTAAAGGTAATCGAATTTCCAACCATTGCTTTTACCATTATTTTCCACTCCGTTCAATAGTTTAAGTGTTACGAGCCAATATATATGAGAAACTTTGATTTCTTCGGCTAAAATAGAACACGAATTTGTTCCGGATAGAACTCAAGTGTTGAGACAATTTAGGCTCTTTTGTAATCGTGTGCCGTTAGGTCGTTAATATTCTTCCTTGGCCGATGGGGAAAAACAGCGAAAGGTGACAATAGTTTACGGCATGCTAGCGAAGCGCGGCTGTTTCGAGTCGATGGCTGATATTGCCGGCAATATCCATCTAGGGTTGACCGTTTACGAGGTCTTTAGAATTTCGCGTAGTCCCGAGCATCGGCGGTCGAGCATGCCGTGGGCTTGGAAAAACCTATGAGTGGCTTGGGGCTTTCTGCGAGAACTCAGATTTCGATTTGTAGAACTCGAAGACGCACGAGCGATCAGAGAGAACATCAATCCTTGTACACCTTGATACTTTAAAATAAATTCGCATTTTTCCCTGTTTCAACGGAGAGTCGTATATCGTGTCCACTTTATTTCCCGAACACGAATATTTCTTCCATCGCTATGGAAAAATAGAAATTGTCAAATTATGTCCATATTGTTTCTTATTGTTTACGTATAGATCGCACTTTTACGAAGAAAACAAGCTTTTGATATCTTGGTGAAAACTTTCATCGTGTCCGTCACTTACATCGCCAAGATTCTCCGGGAAAAAATCCAAGTGATGATGTAAAAAATGAATTATGAGCGACATATTTACGCCTGTTGAAATTAAAATTGAAATTAAATGTACAAATTTTTCTATTTTGTCAAATCAAATAGAATAATAATATACAGGGTGACCCAAAACTCGCGTAGGAGCCGGAAATGGGGAGTAGCTGAGACGATTCTGAACAACAATTTCCTTTGCAAGAATGTCGGATGGGGCTTCGTTAAGAAGATATTAACAGAAAACCCCGACCAATCAGAGCGCACGTATACCGTTGGAGCGGCCGTGGTAGCGAAGGCTGGCTACGCGCTGCGACCACGCTTCTACGCGAACAAGTGACTCGACGTGCATCGAAGACATTGACACGGCCGCCTAACGCGTAGCCTTCGCTACCACGGCCGTTACAACGGTATACGCGCGCTCTGATTGGTCGGGGATTTTTGTTAATATCTTTTTAACGAAGCCCCATCCGACATTTTTGCAAAGGAAATTGTTGTTCAGAATCGTCTCAGCTACCCCCCATTTCCGGCTCCTACGCGAGTTTTGGGACACCCTGTATATTCCATACTCATTTTTGCATAATTTATTAGCAAATCTTCAACAACTTTCTTAGAATTCATATTCTGCCGAGCCAGAAGCCCTGAACTATTGAGCAGCGCTATCAAGGATATTGGGATGAAAGGATGTTGGATGACTACATTTGGTTCTTCATCAGAGAAACGTACCCAACGAATAACAGAAGACAAAGCAAAGGCCGAAATTATTTCTAATCGAAATTAATTAAAAAAAGTGTTTCCTATGTAAATAGGAAAAAGATACAGAAACAGAGTGTAACAGCTGAGGTTACTAAAATGATTGCGCGTAAGTTCAATATTTGTATATATATTTTAATAAACATGTAAATTAAAATTTTTACAAAGTAAAGCACGCAAAGAGTATTTCTAGACTCGGAGTCCCGTAAATAGCGAGCGATTGACTGTCCTTCCGCAAATTCCACTACCTTTATAGTATTCTTCGGAAAGGTAACGCCTTTACTGGGGGTGGAATTTGTCACCGCCTTAATTTGGCGGGGATGGTCGATGAGTTTTCGGGACTGGGAAAGGTGGTTGTCACATGTAGGCAATAAGGTCATTTCGGGACCGCGCTACTCGCGCGGAAAGACCTTGGCGGTATATGGCAGGCAGAAGTTGTAAAGAAGGACACATTTTACGGAAACGGTTTCTTAAGAATGTTAAAATAATTTGCCGTCTTGCAAATGCCAGGTAGGTTTTATTACCTTAAAATCTAACATCTGCAACCGGTCAGTTTTACCCACGCGCATCTGCAAACCATATACCGCTACACAGTGTAAAATTGGAATTTTTGTACCTTTACTCAATTGTTCCTAATTCCAGTATTTATCCACAGATTTTCTTCAACAAAAGCTTGTTTTCTTCGTGTGATTTATATGTAAACAATAAGAAACTGGACAATTCCTATACAATTTCTATATTTTCATGGCGATGGAAGAAATATTCGTGTTCTATATTATCTGAAAAAAATCAAAGTTTCTCATATATATTGGCTCGTAACACTTAAACTATTGAACGTAGTGGAAAATAATGGAAAAATCAATGGTTGGAAATTCGATTACCTTTAAAATGGCGTCCTGCCCCACCGGACGTTTCTAGCTCGAGATATAGCCTAAAATGTGAACGTATGTCAGGAAAAAAAAAATTCAAAAATTCATATAAAAAAAACGTACCAAAACAAAATTTTGTCTTGCGTTTTTTGAATTTAGTAGATCAAAATACATAAGAAAAAAATTGCGGTATTGAATGTACATTTTTTTTTTCATTTTGTAAACTAGTGTAGTCAACCCTTTTCGTCACCCCTGGCCCTTGCAGAAATGCCGTTTTTCTCCACAACGCCTTTTACGGGGGTGAATTAACTCTTTTCCATCAACCCTCGCCAATTCAACTTTGCACACACCCAGAGGACACTCTAAAACTACTCCTGAGGATGATTCACGAAAATCGGTTAAAAACTCCCGTAGTTACGACGTTTTGAAAAATGTCCCCTAAGTATTGAGAGACAGTGTATATTCTAAAAATACCGGGTGTACATTTAAGCATACTGTTATGTTTTAAGTTTGGCATAACGAGAACTTTAAGGATTAACGAGTAACTTTAATATATAACGGGGTGTGTACAATGCAAATGTCAACAAAGGTAATTAAATGTGTTCTTAGTTTCGGAACGTCAGCATTCAATGGCGTCTTGTTCGAATATGACAGCTTGACAGGCGATCAATCCGATCGTCTTCTTGTTCCGGTTGCGAGCACCAACAGGCCTTGGATCCATCCCATGGGTGCTCACAACAATACTTTAGCATACTTTTTTAGCATACTTTATCTCTTTAATCTTTAACCACTTGCGCTGGAAAGACGTGCCAGGCACGTCGTGATGCTTTTGTCACAGAATCGCCAACGACGAGGTATGTACCGCCTCATGCGATTATCACAGAAACAAAAACTACGTGCATTATATTTGTATAACTTTATAATCAATCGACGCTCTATATTTCCTTCAAAAAACTATTAAAAGTCCTAGGTTGAAAATAAATTAATTTAGAAAATATAAATCTTTTTCCGATTTTTTTGAGAAATCGAACACTGCGCGACACCTCCCAGCGAGTTACACTAGACCGTTCAGGTACACGTGCTGGTGAATTTTTTGCCAGCGCAAGTGGTTGACGGGCTTTTAACGGTCCGTCCTTTGTGTTAGATTACCACTCCTAAGTAAACTTAATCCAAATTAACTCCGTTAAGCCAAACTGAAGAGCAACATCGGCCATTTTATCCAACGTGGCCCTGTAAATTCGTACAATCGAAATAATGTTATCGCGCAGGTAATGACTACACCCATTCTTAGGGACAATTACGGTATTTCCGTATTTAACATTATACGATCACGTTTGTTTCTTATTTCCATCGATTTTTACGTGCTCAATTTCGCTCGAATGTTCTACATAAAAGTGTGGTTAGCAATTCGTAGAACAATTTTACCGCTTTGTAACCGAAACTCGCGAAAAAACTCGATATCGGAGTACTTAACATTAATGCGATCGTAATTGTTTGTACATTTTCGGCGACTTGGTTGAAGTTTTAATATGGCACGCAAGCATTCGATTAGTAATTTTAAGAAGAATAAGAACAATTTTATAGTAGTTATTTAATATAAAAAGCTGTGTTTGAAAAATTGTTTGATCATAAGAAAAAAAGGTTCTTGTTTAATTTGTAGAATGGATATTAATGCATAAAAGAGAACTGTTAGATAACTTCGTCTTAGACAGAGACAACACATGTCACAGATGAACATGTGTCTCCAGTACATCATTCGATTGGGTATAGGTACATGCAGATGTACTCGTGTACTCATTTGTGACGAATATTATTATTTTTCATTTTTCTTAAAACAAAGGAAGCGCTAAAATTTAATTGCACTTCTTATTTCATACATTCACCTCTATATCATAATATACACCAGAAACGAAACAAGAACTTATTCCCTGGATTAATTTAGCGTTCGTGAATATTCTTTCTCAAAAAAGGCCGAGTACAAATGATCGAAACGTAGAAAGTCTTTAATAAATTATCAGTGATTGCCTTTATGACTCAACAATTATTTATTCTATTAATTTTAGTCGAATGTGGCATGTATAAATGCAATTAAATTCAAAGACCGGTTCTCGAGTTTCACTGTTTAAGAAAGACGCGTTTAAACTGTCAATGGTTCGCGTACGTATATCTTTGTTAGTTTTGGAAAACGTCTGAAACTTGTCTGGTAGACGGTCGAATCATGGAAGGAAAACTGGTTGCTCGTCGATAAGAAACTTTCGAACTGGGCAGACAAGTGTAGATAAGGCTTTCTAGTAGACACTTTGGAGTCTCAGCGAGAGATGGGAACGCTAAAGATACATAGATCAATACACGTTGCTCTTTCGATTTAGTCGATCCTTTACAGTGGGCAACGAAATCATAATGATTGGATACAAGAGTTACATTTTGTATGTCTCAATGATAATGTGACTCCAGTAATAGTAAAATATATTCTCTGTTCTCAAGAAAAAACAAATAAACAATTTAACTTATCTCAACTTTTCCTCCATCAAGTATTTATTAACATTAAAAACAAGATACTTCGTTTAATTAGACATTGGACGTTTATTAAATATAAATTTGTATACTTTTAAAATATACTTTAGAAAAACATAGGTAAAATTGTGAAATAAAAAGAAGAAGTAAATTAAAAAAGTTAAAAATAACTATATAATCAGCAAATTTTATTAACACATTAAAATAAGGACAAAAAGAAAGTTAGACGAATTAGGAAAGGATTACAAAAATAAATATATTTTCATCATCGTTGAAGTTTCATGTTAGGAAAAAGTGTTTGAAATATCATTTTCTAAAGCAATAGTTCTAATAGTTTCGTAATTTTTCTTATTGCGCTTGTAATTATTGGCTAGTTTTCGCTTTTTATGTCTCTTTTACGAGTTGGATGTCTATTTAAGGGAGTGGATTCCAGTGCCTTGCATGGCTCGTACGCACTCACACAGCTCCACATCACTGTGTACGTACACGGAACATGAAGGGCTTGCGATCGTCCTATTAATGTCTCGACAATGCAAATTTGAGACCTCTCAATAGTCGTTTCCGCTAGATAAATGTTCAAAATGTTCATAATTAATAATATTCAGCAGTATTTCGCGATTAAAAGAAACAATATGGTGGCGCGATAGTGCTGCCGCGTTGTCTGAACAAACGCTGCTGAATATTATTAATTATGACGCAAAAAAGCAAAAGTAGACTACCTATATAGGAGCTTGCGCACAATTTTGAACATTTATCTAGCGGAAACGACTATTGAGAGGTCTCAAATTTGCATTGTCGAGACATTAATAGGACGATCGCAAGCCCTTCATGTTCCGTGTACGTATACAGTGATGTGGAGCTGTGTGAGTGCGTACGAGGGCATACAAGGTACGGGTGGCCACTCCCTTAAACATATCCCGACACGATTAAACACAAAGCAGAAGGAAGCAGCATGAATGAAGTGAATAGGGAATGAAGTTTTATTTTGAGCAACATTGATGTCACGCTTTCGTTACTCGATAACAGATTTTTATGGATTTAAGAAATTACGGTTAATAAGCTTCCAGAGATTAATAGCGTTCCTGTGTATCTTCATTATTCCAGTAAACCTCTGTAACAGAATAGCATCTCGTCCTATAATCTAAAAGTTGAAAAACGGTATGTCTATATAAACTAACGAGCTGAGTTATAGTGCCTTGGGACTATAATTTCCGACCAATCACCGAAAAATATTACGTAACAGAAACTTTTTTAAAATTATTTATTTTAAGTTACTGTAACATCGATTTACTGTAAGAGCTGATCGAATAAGATATGTCTTTTGAGACATTGTAATTAATTAGTCCGAACGTAATTGGATATTCGAGATTAAACCTTTACTAAAACCCACTTAGATGCTTTCGAAAGATAATCTCAGATACATTACTCAATTTTATTAATACTGTACATTATACAATTTCAGAACAATATTATTAATATTAAAAAAGGAAAGAGCATCATGAAGAAACAAATAATTAAAAATCATCTGAAAATATATTCGACAGGAAGACCCACATATTGTCTAACAGACGTCGTCAAAATACCGGATATTCCACGTCTGCTTAGCTAGCCCCCAAACTTAAATAAAATTTAAGGAAAAATTGCATAATAATGCACTATTTACGCATTCTTCAAATCCGTAAGAAAAAAATTTTACGCTCGCTCCGTTTAATGCAAACAAATTTATTTAAATGGTGGGGGGGGGGGGCGGCTGAGTGGGCTGCCAGTAAGCCTCCCCACATATTAATGATAAGCAATATTGACAGAAAAACATGCAGGATTTATGGGGTAATTATGCGCAATCGTATTAAGAGCAATTTCGATTTTTGCGCTTCATCCCCTAAGGGACTTCCCTCGTGGTGTTGTAACGGGGCAAACCTTTTCTGCCCGTCACGAAAGCACCCTGACCCCCCGAAGGGCCTCACTCCCTCCTCGGCGGACACCCCATTACGGAGGTGGTCCGCGAGATTGGAGGTATGGGTGTCCCCTTCATCCCTCGCGGATAGAGCCGCGTCTTCGCACGAGAGCGACAAGTCGCTGGTCGCGGTGTCCTCCACCCCGGGACCCCGGTGTGGCCGCCACCAAGAGGACTCGTCACCCTCCCAGGAAGGACACACGCCTGTCATCGCCCCGTAGCTGCCACGGGAGAAAGAATAGCCTGGGGATGTCATGGTGGTGGCACACCGGAAGGAGCCCCTACAGCTCGTGGGTGGGGAAAGCCGTGAGCCGGCGGCGAGAAGAGCGCGTCGATCGATACGCGATCGATTTGGAGATCAAGACAATTAACGGCTAACCGCGAGGCAAAACGGAACCTGTGCTACGCGAGCGAACCCCTTTTTCCGTGGCTAGAGTTTCCTCGTATTTCGCGCGCGCGTATTGTGTGTGGTGTTCCTCCACGCCGTCCACCCCGTAGAGGATGCCCCGTAATCAGCGACTCCGAGGTCTCCAAAACTTATGTAGGGCCCACTGGTTGGC